GTACAGTACAGTATAGACACCCAGTGTAGAGTATAGACAGTGCTTGTGCACCAGGGGTACAGTATAGACACCTGTTGTATTGGACAGTATGTGTAGTATAAGTCCTGCATTTTGCACCAGTACTAATACAGCCACTGAAAAGTGTATACATAGTATTTATACTCCTGGAGTCGTGTATATATACAGTTTTTGAACAGAATACATATACATACTTTAGGTACATAAGGTTTAGGTACTGACATACTGAAAACAGATATATAAACAGTATTGAGTGTAGAAAAAACAGTACTAGTTTAAGAGAACAGAACCTACTGGAGTCTGTGTAGAAAGGTTTGAAGCCTCAGGACCTCAGATGGTATAAGGAAACCCCCATTGTACGAATGCAATTGTCTGTAGGGGCTGTGTGTATGATTTCCAGAGCTGATCTCCGAGAGAAATTCTAGCCTTTCCAAGTCTGCCCCCTCTTGCGCCCTCTGGTGGTCACGGGGAGAAGTGTCTGCTGGCAGGTTCACGCTGGTAACGTGGAGAGAGGAGGGTAATGACTTTTTTAATAATGTTCATGCTCAGTGTTTAAACGTCAGCAGTGTCACACACTCCTGTTCCTTCGAAAGAAATCTGCTCGCCTGCGAAAGCTCACTGCGTTAATACAAGCCCAAGCCCAATTATTTCCTTTTCCTTTCACACTACTAATGAACTAATTAGGACTGGTGGCTGTCTGAGGGTTAAAAGGAGAAAGTCCCTTGACTGGTCAGTACCCAGCAAACAGCTCTGCAGACTGGTCATCGGGCAGGGGGTTGTGTTCGCGCCACCAGAGAGCTTCCCGACCAGCAGAGCGCAGAGTGCGGACCACAGGCCGGGTCTGGGGTCTGGTCTCTGCTCTGCGGCCCAGTCCCAGCTGAGCAGGAGGGGATGACGTCCCAGCCCGTGCTGCAGGCCAGGCCGGAGTTTGGTGCTCGTAGGCCCTGGGCACTTTCACTCCCAAGTGTGCAGAAAGAGGGGGAGACGTCGCCTGACATGACGCCCTTTAAACTTCTCTCACGCTAAACCCCGTGACTGATGGGGCGAGTCGAGCGACCAGCACTTCGGTTCCTCTAGTATCTGGACAGCGCAGGATTATCGATCTGGAGCACCTGGAGTCGATCGCAAGCCTGTTTTTCCAGCTGGTTTCTCTTTGGACACCAGTGTTTCCCTCCTTCGTGGGCCCTAGGCCCTGCGCCTGCAGTGCCTCATGGGAAACCCGGCGCTGGCTGGAGGGGGTGCAGGGTCTCTTGGGAATAAGCCAGCTTCGTCTTTGAGCTGGGGGCAGGGAGGGCAGGTGAGAGGGTATCGGACGTGCAGTGCTGTGCCAGTTCTCACCCCCCCCGCCGCTGTGTGCCCTCAGGGGATCTTCCTGTTCCATGTGGTGAACCACCGCCCCCTGTCCTACAGCTCGTCCTACGTGTACCCCTGGTGGGGCGAGGCTCTGGGCTGGGCCCTGGCTCTGTCCTCCATGCTCTGCATCCCGCTCAGCGTGCTCTACAAACTGCTGCACTGCAAGGGCTCCCTGAGAGAGGTCTGTCCCCTGTGTGTGCCCCCTGCCTGT